TTGCCAGAAAATTCTCAGAGGAGCGATTTTTAAGAATTCCTCTCTCTCCTTTTGCTGGTAGTGTTTTCCTTGGTTACTCAGTAATTCCATTTTGTAAGTTTTTCTTTTTAAATCCTCACCCGAGGATACTTTACCACTGGCTTTTAGAGAAAGTGGGAGGGGGAAAGAGAGAGAAACATCGGTGTGAGAGAAACACGTTGACTGGTTGCCTCCGGCACGCCCCCCGACCAGGGCCCGGGCCGGGGATGTGCCCGCAACCGAGGTACGTCCCCTTGACCGGAATCGAACTTGGGACCCTTCGGTTCACAGGCCGTTGCTCTATCCACTGAGTAACACCGGCTTGGGCCACTTTGTAAGTGTTTTATGGGAGTTTCAAGGCAAATGGAATCATACCTTTTCCTGTCCTTTATACACACATGAAAGACACTGCTGCCTTCTGTAGGCCCAGGTGATGCCAGCGGTCCCCCACCTTTTAGGAAAAGAGGACTGTAGACTTGGGGTCAGTGGGGGTCACTTGCTCATGGTGTCAACAGCCCGTGTGGAGTGACACACACCTGGGCAGGCACCGCAGGGCACAGGAGGCCACTGTGTGTCCTGAGATGGGGAACGACTTATTGATGGCCACAGGCTCCAGCCGCGGTCCTGGTCTCCCTTCTGCCCAGCTCAGCTGAGCAGCCGCCGACGCTGGACGGGGGGCGCTGCCGGCCTGTGTGGGCTCCGCTGGGACAGGGCGGGTGCTGGGCAGGTGACGGTGTCTTGTCCTGGCAGCCGGCATGCGAGCCCAGGGGCCTCGGACAGGAGACGGAAGCTCTGAGGCTGCGGCCCTTCCACCTGCCGCAGGGCTGGGTTGGTCTCCGTCATCTCCAAGGCCCGTCGTGGTGGGGTTTCCAGTATGTTTTTATCAATTTCAGAGAGGAAGGGAGAGGGGACATCAATGATGAGAGAGAAGCATGGACCGGCTGCCTCCTGCACGCCCTCTCCTAGGGATCGAGCCCCCACCCCAGGCCTGTGCCCTGACCAGGAATCTAACTGAGACCTCCTGGTTCATGGGTCAACACTCAGCCACTGAGCCGCCCTGGATGGACCATCGTGGTGCTTCTGTTGTTGTTTTGGAGCAAAAATCCTTAGTAAAAATATCTGAAACACATAGGCCCACCTATACCTGGCTGCACCCCATGAAATTGCCAGTTTCGGCCATTTTAACCTGTGTCAGTGGCAGTTTCACAGGGTTAAGAGAACGTAAACGGTGGCTGAAGTCCACACCTGTTAGGCGTTCTCCTTCGAGGGGGAGTGTGCATTCCAGATACGGCCAGTGCCTCAGTCACGGAGCTGAGTGGGTGTCGGAACTGGCACCCTCCTTGCATGTTTGCGCGTGTCCATCTGGAAGTAGCCTTCGCACGTGGGGCCTGGGCCCTTTCCTGGGCGTGCGGAGCAGACACCCGCGTGCTCAGTGCTCCCACGGGTCCACCTGGGACTGGACGTTTCCGGCCTGGCCAGGCCGCTCTCGGGCACTTACCCCCGGGGCCTTTCCCTGCGGTTGGGTCTCATCTGAAAGCACCTCTGGGCCTGCTTGGTGGACAGCGTGTCCCCCAGGAGAGCTGACCAATGAGCAGGGTCCGCCGGCGGGTGGGTGCGCGCTGCCACGCCCGCACCTTGAAACCCCTGGGGCGTCCGCACTGAGGTTTCTTGTTGCAGATTCTGGGATGGGCTTTAGGGGGCCCAGGGGGCCGGAAACTGAAGGGAGAGCTTCGTATGTACATATGTACGATTTCCGGGGGAAAAATAACGTGAAATGGTTTTCTTTTTCAAGGGATCTGCAAACCCTCCTCCTGCCCTCTCTCCTTCCCTCCCCTGCAGGTATGTTGGGAAAAGAGGACTGTAGATTGGGGGTCAGTGGGTGTGGCTGTGGTTTCTGGTTGCTTGCACAGGACCCGGGAGGGGAGCACTCACTCATCACACCCTCAGGGGGCGCTAGGCAGACCCCCGCTGGGTCCTTAGGGGTTCTATGGCCTGAGAGGACCTGCAGGTCCCTGCTCCTCACAGGCTCCTCCCTGGCCCAGGGCCCGGTCCGGCGTGTGCAGGAGGCAACCAACTGCTGAGCTTCTCTCACCTGGATGTTTCTCTCTCCCTTCCACTCTCCCTAAAAATCCATGGAAAAATACCCTCGGGTGAGGATTAACCAAACAAACAAACAAACAAACAAAGAAGACATTGGCTGGCGTGCAGGGCAGAGAGGGCGCTGGGGCCCGGGAGGTGGTGTGGAGGAGGCTGTGTTGCATGGAATGGCGTCATCAGGTGATGCTGGTGGCAGGGGGGCGGGGGGCGGGGCAGTGGGGCAGAGAGAGAGCTGGTTTGGGAATAGGATGGCGTCTCAGGTTGTTTCTCTGCATCCTCGCCTGAAACACGTCTTTCAGATACGGATGTACTAGTCACCTCTTTGCTGCACTTGGGAGAGCACTCCTGGACCGAGGGTCCGACACACATGCCAGACCCTGTCAGTGTCCCTTCGCAGCCTCCCTCCCATAATCCTCTAAAGCACGGGGACTCCGGGCCATCGCGGTAGCAGCTGAGGCTCGTGGAAAGCCTGTTACAACAAGGCATTGTGCTAACTACTGTGAGGTTAAGCAAGGTAATGCGAGAATGTTGGTGAACACTGGAAACGTGAGAAAAGTGTAAAGAAGAAAAGAAGTTTTAGGTATTCCACCCACTATTAACATTTCAAACTATTTATTTCCAGTCTTTTCTCCATTTTCATATGCATGCATACATTCCGTTACATATATATTTTATTTGTTTGTTTGTTTGTTTTTATTAATCTCAGAGAGAGGAAGGGCAGGGGAGAGAGAAAGAGAAACACTGATTAGCTGCCTCCTGCACACAGTCCGACTGGGGATGGAACCCAAAACCTGGGTATGTGCCCTGACCGGGAATCGAACCCGCCACCTTCTGGTGTATGAGACGACCCTCCAACCAACTGAGCCACGCCAGCCAGGGCTAGGTACATGTATAAGTTGGGGTCATACTATGTACAGTGTTATGTCCCCCATTACACTTTTGGCAAATACCATGCATGCAACAGGTGCACATGAAAAGCTTAAAGAACCGAGTGTGCGCTCGGTCCATCACCAGCAGGCTAGGGAGGGATCGTATCGCTCCCCCTCGCGCACCCCTCCGTCCGTCCCTTCCGCAGCCGCGTGCGGGAAGGACCCCTTCTCACTGTCCGTCCGTCTCCCCGTTGGCCTCACGCAGGAGCAGCATGCCCGCCCTGGCCAACCTGACGCAGACCCTGGAGGACGCCTTCCGGAGGGTCCTCGTGGGGTACATGGACGCGTGGCGCCGGAACACGACCGCCCAGCAGGAGGCGCTGCAGGCCCGGGTGGACGCTGAGAACTTCTACTACGTCATCCTGTACCTCATGGTGATGATCGGCATGTTCTCCTTCATCGTGGTGGCCATCCTGGTGAGCACGGTGAAGTCCAAGCGGCAGGAGCACTCCAACGACCCCTACCACCAGTACATCGTGGACGACTGGAAGCAAAAGTACAAGAGCCAGATCCTGAGCCTGGAGGAGGCCAGGGCCACCGTGCACCAGAACCTCGGCGCTGCGGGCTTCAAAATGTCCCCGTGAGCCTGGCCGGCGGGGGTCGGCGGAGAGAGCCTCGGCCTGCGGACCCAAGGGTTCGATTCCGGTCCAGGGCATGTCCCTGGGTCACAGGCTCCTCCCCGGCCCGGGCCCTGGTCGGGGCACTCGCAGGAGGCAAACAGTCGATGTGTCTCTCTCACGTGGATGTTTCTCTCTCTCCATCTCCCTTCCACTCTCTCTAAACGTCAATGGGAAAATATCCTCGGGTGAGGATTAGCAAAAAACAAACAAAAAACCCCCTCTCCTTGACAAGAGAGAAAGACAGGGAGCCGACCCCAGACGCCCGCGCCCTGGAGCACCCCCAGCTCTCTGCTCAGAAGACACCTCGCTGCTTGCTGTCTGCGGAGACGCTGCGGAGACCGCATGTCGCGTCCCCGAGGCAGGTGGCGTGTCGCATCGGTGCCTGGCGCTTGCTCATGGGCGTGGTGTGCTGTGTGAGGGCCTCTTCCCTCCTCGATGGGAATGTCACTGTCGGTGTCAGTGGTGGAAATAGAGCCAGGTGGAGGCCGAGTGCCTGCGCAGTGGTTGGGGGTAGAAAGGAGAGATTTGCAAAGCGCTGTGTTTTCTTTCTCCTGTCACATGATTTTGTATGTGGCTGATTCAACTGGCAAATAGGACGTGTGACCCAGATGCCGAGGTTCGGAATCTACCCCCGTCACTGGGCTGACGGGAGCATCATTGATGCAGTCGGAGCGCGAGTCCCGATGAAGGCGGCAGGGCCATGGGGTCGCAGCAGGTGCATCCTTCTCCTGGCATTGAACTTGCTCGGAGTCGGACAACACCCCACCACAGGGAGGGAGAACCGTGAAGAGCTACCCCCGCAAACATTGCTAAACGGTCATTTACGGTCCCGCAGAAAATGAGCTCGCTGAACGTCTACTTAGTGTGGAAAAGCAATAAAGGCACCGCATGGCTTTATCAGCACCCTTTTCTTTTCACACAACTTGCTTTTCCTCTCTCTGCAGCGACTGCCTGTACTTATGTTTGCCAAGACCAGCGGACAGAGAGTGTCTGAGCTGCTGGGGTCTGTCGCAAAGCTCGACAACCATCGCTTCACATCACGGCGTGTGAGGCCGGGGGCACCCCGATCATCACACGTGTGTCAGACCGTGTCACGTGCAGATGCCGAGATGCCGAGTCTGCCCTCCGCAGATTAGAGGCCTTCACTCATTCATTCCATAAGCGCCCTTTGCCATCTGTCCACTCGGGTCACGGGCCCGACCTCCGCAGAACAGAGGGGACGAGACCCCCTGAGCGGGAGGCACCCGCACAACAGGGAGGCAGTCAGACCCAGAAACATTGTGATGACAAGTGAGGGTCACAGCAGAGATCCTCACAGAGTGGGCGGAGCTAGATCAGGGCCAGGGGCGGGCCACAGGCCACAGTCCCTTCTCTCAGGAGCTGGGGTAGGAGCTCTGGGAGACAGATGCCTGGGGCGGCTGCATGGAGCTCCCTGCCTCCTGGCTCCCCCACCTATCCCCAAGGCAGAGCAAGGCAGGCAGGGCCTCACGTCTCAGGGCAGGAGACAAAACTCAGAACAGGAGCCCTCCTTCCCGGCGCTGGCTTGTGGGGTGTATTCCACCTGTGACAGGGTCTGTCTCTTGGGAGGGAGATAGAATCAGGGTATCGATTCTTGTAATGAGCTGCAATTTCGCTCCAGAGGCAGGAGAGTTAGCTCAGGGGACAGAGGCCCCGGGCACTATCCCGCCCTTCTAAGTCAGAGCCTGTGGACATGACCTGTGGCTGACACCGGCCCCTCCTGCTCCCCTCCCCATTTCCTGGGGCAATCAATAGTTGAGACAAATAAAAACTGGTCTCAGCCAGAGATAGCAGCTACATTGACCTACACAACAGTTTTTGTTTCATTTTTGTGTGTTTTTAAAAATATGTTTTTATTGATTTCAGAGAGGAAGGAAGAGGGAGAGAGATGGAAACATCAGTGATGACAGAGAATCATGGATCGGCTGCCTCCTTTACGCCCCACACTGGGGATGGAGCCCACAATCTGGGCATGTGCCCTGACCGGGAATTGAACTGTGACCTCTTGGTTCATAGGTTGATGCTCAACCACTGAGCCACACTGGCCGGGCCTCTCCTTCTGAGCGTGCACTCCCACTTTAAGGAGCCTGCTGTGCTCTGCTCGGTCCCACCCTGCGTACTTTCTTGCGAGGTGATAGGACCTGGGCACTGTGGCTGGGTTGAGGCCTCCCCGGGAGCCTCGGCATCACTACCGGAGCGTTAACTCCAGTGTCAGAGAAAGCCACGCCTGTTCCGAAAACAGATGTGGCGAGTGGCTTCCTCCTAGAAAGCTGGTGCACACAGACGTCCATGCCAACGTGCCCGCATCAGTGACCCGGTGGCAAAGCTGGGCCTCGCGTCTGGACCCGACAGGGACGCCAGGTCCTCCGCAGGCGGCTCGGTGCTCTCCGCGGACCCGGCGCTGGCCAGGCTCCTGGGAGCCCTCTGGTCACACGGAGACCTGAACAAACACGGGGAGTGCGGGGTCTACAGGGAGGCAGGGTGTGCAGCTGCGGAAACCCTCTGCCCCGTTTGCCACTCCGGCCCCAGTCCCACCAAACCCAGGCTTGCCACCTCAACCCGGAACTGCAGATGCCAGTTCACACAACTCCTCCGCCCCCTTGGCTTCAGGAGTGCCCTCCGCTTGGTCTACCAGCTCTGGGAGCCCTGCGCCCACTTACTCCCGAGTGTGAAGTGGTTTGGGCAGGAAGCAAGGCCGCCCTGAGGCCAGGTCTGAAGTGGTTTGGGCAGGAAGCAAGGCCGCCCTGAGGCCAGGTCCAGACGGGACTCAGGCCCCGCCTAGCAGGGCTGCTCTGAACCTGGACAGATGGCCTGCATCTCCTGGTGTCCGCTCGCCGCCTCTGTGAACCCTTTCTGAGCTTGTGATGGGACTTCCTTAGACAGGAGCCTCCAAGTGCTTAGAACAGAGCAATTTTTAAAAAATGCTTAAGATTTTAAAAATGTTTTTATGTTTACTTTTGATTGATTTTAGAAAGAGGAAGGGAGAGAGGGATAAACACCAATGAGAAGCATGGGTCGGCTGCCTCCTGCACGCCCCCTACTGGGCATGGAGCCCACGGCCCGAGCAGGTGCCGGGACCTCGAATAGAACCAGCGACCTCTCCGCGGTGCCCGGGACGATGCTCTAACCACTGCGCCACCGCGGGCGGAGCGAGCCATTCTGTTACTTCCTCC